TTGAGTTGCAGAGTTTAATTTGTCCACAGTAAATGGCAAGGTTGGGATTCAAATCCATGTCTTCTTGTGCCAAAACTCATGCTCTTTCCACTAGTCTATGCACCTCCCCTGCCCCTCAAAAACAGAGTTGTGTCCAAGGACAGAGCAAGGGGGTAGACATTGGAAAGAGGAACGGTGGATAGCTTCCCCAGAGAAGCCACACAGGCCAGTTCTCATTTCTTTCAGGAACTGAACATGCTGAAGGATTTAGCACTTGGCCATGGGCTCAGAAACGAGCTTCTAGTAAGAGGCTCAGAGGTAAACTATCAACCAAATTTACGGTGTGTATTATAATCATAATGCAAGTTTCAAACGTGGTTGCCTGGAAAACAAAGACAAATAAAATAACTAATTAAGAATATGAAATATCAATTTACAAACATATCTTTAAAACAATTTTTTTTAAGACATCTTTGATGCACGCAGGTGTGTCCCGTCCAGGATAGATGTGATTCCTTTCTGTGGGAAAAGTGCTTGGAGCTCTAACTCTCATGGCTTCCAACCTAGCAAATGAAACATTACTTTGCAAAAGTTATTTTAAAATACTAACTGTCTGTGTTCCCTTATAACCTTACTCTCAAAATGAGAGTCCCAAATTGCAGCAAATGTTAGGATGAAGAATAATTGAGGAGCAATGTGCCCAGAACAGTTATTAACATTATTACCAAAGCTGAATAGTTAAGAAAAAGACAGAAAGGGGAAAAAAATGAAAGTTTGGTTGCCATTTTTGAATATTGGCTTGAGGCTCCATTTCTGAACTGAGAAAAGGACATTAAATAGCTGTATATGGAGTATTTCCAGTTTAAAAAGTAGTAAGAACATACGATATAATAAACACAAGAACTTTAATATTTCTGGGTTTGGGTATTTTCTTACTGCATTCTCCTAGTGGGAATGAAGATAAACGTTTATTGCCCTATTAATTTTGTATCTTGCAGACTTGAATTCTTTAAAAGTTGCACTTTCTGTTTCATCTCTCTGGTGATAATACAGGTACTATAGAATACAAAGTTCTGGATTTAATGTTGCGGGGGAAGGTTAGCTCCATGGTAGAGTGTGTGCTTAGCAAGCACAAGGTCCTGGGTTCAATCCCCAGTATCACCATTAAATAAGTAAACAAACAAACAAATCTAATTACCATCCCCCACCCAAATTTAAAAATAAATAAAGTAGTTGGAAAAAATTAAAAACAAACAAAATTGTGGCTTTAAACATGACCTATTAATCCAGGCAAACATATGGTTATTTGCACTAGTGCCAAAAAGAGTTGGAGTGCACATTTCTCATTCTTTTCTCTTGACTTCTTAGCATGTGGACTACTTTCCTATATTTAGGCAATTCCCTCATGAATATCTCTTTGTATCTTCCTCCCACAATCAGATGAGAACAGTAGATAATCACTTTCCCAGATCACCTAACAGTTAGGGAGAAAGCAGGTGACCTGGGTTCAATCTATCAGATGCATCCACCTGGGACTTTGAATCTGAAGCTAGTGTTGCAAAGAAGCAGGGCAAATGGAGAATTCTTTCTGACGGTGACTGTGCCATCCATTTCCCCAGGGCAAAGCCCAAATGTGTGTTCAGGATCACTTCCTGACTGGCTGCTGTGCTGACTAGCTGGCCACCCTTCGTGTTTTCCTATTTTTCAATAGGAAAATTTCCTGGTTTTCAGGAACTTCCTTGAAATTCTCCAAGATGCCCAATGCTGTTTCAATAAACCCCCTTTCTGTTTCAACAAGCCAGAATTGGTGTCTGATACAATGGCTAATTTTCTATAGCGGCACCTAGTTGAAGTTATTGTACTGAATTTTATAATTAAAAAAAAAACACCTCTAAAGTTACTTCATTCTTCATATCGATATTGGGATATTATGAACATGGGGTTTTAACTGATGTGTTATAATCCAACCGTGCCTGTGTCTTTTTTAAAAATTGGTCCTTGTGAAACTTGGAAAAATAACAAAAATGCCATAGAGAAGGGGGTGAGTATAGCTCAGTGGTAGAGTGCCTGCTTAGCATGAGTGAGGTCCTGGGTTCAATCCCCAGTACCTCCACTAAGAAAGAAAGAAAGAAAATAAATAAAACTAATTACTCCCCCCTCAAAAACAAAACAAAATAACATAAAAAGGACACAGACCTTGCTGAGGTGATGGGGGGAGGCATGTGGAGGGCATGACTGTAATCCTACTGGCCTCTCTGCACCACTTTCTACCCCCTCTCCTGGGAAGAAGGAGTGATTTACCTAATTAGAGGCTTTGGAAGAAGATACCAGGTGTGTGTTCTCCATTGCTGTCAGGAGCGGTCAGTCGGCCTGCAGACAGGGGAAGTTCCCATTGCTGTCTACCTTGCAGTATCAGCCTGGCCCTTCTGAAGAAGGCCTGACCCATTCCTCCACTGCCTATGCCTGGGACCGTGAGTCTATGATTCGGGGGCACAGTATTGGTAAAGCCCTCAGAGAACACACACTGAGACCATGTCCCTTATTTTGGCTTTCATCAGTAACAGAGGCAATACTTAAATCTCAACCCTCAATTGTTTCAGAATTTGACAGAAGAGGACTGTTTTCATCTAAGCCCCTTGAGATTTTAAGAGGTCTCTACAAATTGTTCCTTGTGCTACTTTCAGAGTAAACTTTTAAAAGTTTAATGTTTATCTATTTTGCTTCTCCTCCACCCCATCAGTGTGGATCCTACCGGGAAAGAGAAAATGTACAGTAGCTTAAGCAGGAAATTTTTAACATAAAGAATTACTACTAAATGAGGTGATGACTGACATAAGAGGGATTGGCTCTAGCCCATAAGCAGAGAGAACTCTAAAGCCTATAGGAGTGGCAGAGAGAAGGGGCAGCCACCGTCCCGGGGCTGAGAGAACACGGGAGAGAAGCCCGGCTCCACCAGGCTGAGATCCACACTTGGCTGGAGAGAGCTCGGCTGTGGCCCGTGGAATGGCGGAGAAATCGCGGCGGTGCCATGTCCTTTGGAATTTTCTGTAAACACCTTCTAGGGTGCTGGGGGAGTAGTTGGGGCTCCCTGCAGGCACTGGGCTACAAAACTGCTCGGGACCGGGACCGGGATCCAGAGTGGGGGAGGGGACTGCCGCTGGTCTCTGGATGCCACCTCTCATCCACCTGCCACCCTGCAGGAGCCCATCACAGCTGAATATCGTCCCAGCTGGCAAAGGAAAAATATTTACCAGGTACCAGAACTGTTTCCACAGAGCAGTCCAAAATGGTGAGTTTGGAGCTGAAGGACAACCAATCCATAACCGGCACACCTAGACATTGATTTGAGCGTATTTTATGGTGATAGCAAGTCGATTGTATTTTCTGACACGTGCTTTTGAAAACTCAGGGTAACCCAGTACTAAAACAGTGAATATCTATGTTTATCCAAATGCGTCTGAGAATTTGGAGTTAAGTATTTTCGTCCCCTGTTCCCTATAAGGGAACTCTGAGAATTTTTCTTCTCTTTCGTTGGCTGGTCGTGTGTTCAGATATTGATAGTTTCTGCTAGGTTTTTCTTTGTTTGTTTTTTGTTTTTTTACTACTACCTTCCCAACAAAAGTTTGCTCCTGTTGTCTCTTTTCCCATCTTTATGGATTTATGGCTTTTTAGAAAATCCATGTATAATCGTTTGAGTCAGTTTTCACCAGGAAGCAAGTGTCAATGTATGTTTAATTCCTGTCTTTACTTGGAAGACCCTGTCCCGGTTTTAGTAGCTCCTCTGCTAAAGGAGCGAGCCCACCAACTCATCCTCAGCAGTTGTGACCTGTCCAAGCTGCCCCCAGCTTCAGGGCACCCATGTCAAACTCTAAGGAGCCCCATGGAAGCCTCAGCTAACTCAAGCAGAAGGAATCAAAGCACACCTCCCTCCAAAGAAATTCTCTTCATTAAGTGGTCTCTGAAGCTCTCCTCTTTAAACTCATTAATACCCTTTGTATCAGTAAGAGTTCAACTAGAGATACAAAACTAGTAGGAGATGTATATTACGAGATTTATTGCAAGGAGTTGGTTTACATGATTGTGGAAGCAAATCCATAGGACAGGCCTTCCTGAAGGGCTGGCTGGAAATCTCTGGGGGAGCTGGAGCTGAGTTAAACAGGTGGAATGTTTTTCTTCTGCTCTTAAAACTTTTGAGCTAATTGAATCAGACCCACCCAGATAATATCCCTCAAAGTCAACTGATTAGGATTTTAATTACATCTTCTCAGCAACACCTAGATTAATGTTTGATTGAATAAGTGAGGGTTGTGGCCTAGTTAAACTGACCCCTAAAACTGGCCATCATACCCTTATTATGGATTGATTTTTTTTTAAGAATTGTAAAACTAATGCTTTAGTAGTCCTGTTGAAAATCTTCATCTTGCTGTAACACTCACTTTGAAATTTCCTATTATACCAATTTAATTTCTGTATATGCCACCGTGATGCTCAGCGTAAGAGAATAATCCAGACCAATGAGCCTCTTATTTGTAGTTTCCTGAACCTCCTAGCCTCCCCTTCATCTATTCCATACTCACTGCTCAGGACAACTCTTGGCCTCCCTAGTTTTTAAACTGACTGCAAGTTTTGTACATTCTTCCTCTGAGGCATGTCCCATTCCTCTGCTCACACGTTTCACTGGCTATGCTTGTGTTGTTCCACTTAAGCCTCGTCTTCTCACAGAACACTCTGGGATCCCCAGCCTGTTCCCGCCCCATTCAAGGGGCATGCCTTCCTCCAGCCCACCTTATGCTGTGCCTCCACACTGGAGATAAAGTGTGCCTCTGACCTTCTTACAGAAAACTATGCAGTGAAAGCACCAAGCCAAGCCAGGTGAAGTGCCCCATCTTCCCTGCCAGCCACGCAAGCCAGCCATTCTTCATTGTGTACAAAACTAAATACCGCAGTTACTCAAAGCCCTTTGGAATATTATTCTGGCCTATTGCAGAATTTTCTCAGTGAACCAAGGGGTTTGCTTTTCCTCAAGTGCAGGCTGTACTTTCCCACAGTTCTGACTTGGCTTGTGCTCTTCTGTCAAGAACGCTTCCCCAACCCCCTTGTCTGTCCACCAACATCTCACTTATCCTCCAAAGTCCACCACAAATGATACCCACTCCGTGAATCCTTTCTTGATATCCTTAACTGGATGTCACGCCTCCCTCCTCACTACCTTCTACCCCTTATGGCACATATATATTCTTGCTTATATTACAGTTATTCCACGTGTGGCTGTTATTTCCCGTGCATACCTTGACTGGAAGCTCCTTGGGGACGAATACTATTCTAGTTGACGTTCCTATCAACTCTAACATCGAGCACAATGCTTTGCCCAAAGTAGATCATTAGTAACTATTTTCTGATATGAATATAGTTGACCTGGGTCATTATTTCCCAGAAAAGTTTTGCATAATGAACTTCGCATATGACCTCTGAATCCAGAAACCTGGCTTTGTGCTTACCCTTGTTAGTCTTATCTTTTGTGGCCCTCATTCTCTTCACCTTTAAAATGAGAGGTTTGGGCTAGATGATTTTTCAGAGTTCCTGCCAGGTTCTTAAGTTCTAAGATACATATTTTTTAATGCCTACAATGAGAATGCTAGCTTATTTTCACAGTTCCTCCAAGAAATAATCTTTGCTCTGAGAGGAGAGATAAGCTATTTAAGGTGACAAAGTTTGTGTTGCTGAAATGATAGTAAGAAGTTGGCAACCCTGACTTGTCCTGTCTTGTCCTGCCTTGGGAAGCACACTACCCACACTCACCAATCAGAGAGCAGGAAGCTTAGTCAGCTGTGCTGGGATGACAGCAGGTGACATGGGAGCAAATGAAGAGCAAGAAGAGAAACTGAAGGTATCATCTCAAACACACTTGAGTGAACTAGAATTTCTAAGCCTTGAGGAAAAAGATGGGAGAGATATGAATGAGTGAAACCAAAGCAAAAAAGGCCTTTTGGGAAAAGTAAGAATTTAGTTAAGAAAATCTACTCTTCTAATTTTTAAAATACATTTTTATTTTAGATTAATTTTACATTTGCAGAGAAGTTGCAAATATTGTCCAAAGAGCTCCCCTATACTCCATACCCAGATTCCCTCATTGTTAATGTCCTGCATACAGTATATTTGTCACAACTAATGAACCAGTATTGACACATTATCATGAACTAATTTAGATTCCTCAGCCTTTACTAATGTTCTTCCTCTGTTCACAAGATACCACATTATATTAAGTTATGTCACCTTAGACAGTGACAGTTTCTCAGACTTTCCCAGTTACAATTTTGTTGTTATTGTTTCTTTGCTTTTAAGTATTTTTTCCTTTCAATTTTATTGAGATATAATTGAGATACAGCACTATATAATTTTCAGGTGTCCAGTATAATGACTTGACTTACGTATATTGTGAAATGAGTACCAGTAACTTTAGTTAACATTCATCATCTCATACAGATACCAAACAAAGAAGAAAAATGTTTTTTCCCTTGTGATGAGACCTTTTAGGATTTACTTTCCTAACAACTTTCTAATATACAATACAGCACTGTTAAGTAAAGTCATCATGCACTTATTTATCTTAAAACTGGAAGTTTATACCTTTTGACCACCTTCATCTAGTTCCCTTACTCCTCAGACTTGCCCTCTTTTGACAGTTTTGAGAAGTGCTGGTCAATGCAGAATGTCCCTCAATTGGGGTTTGTTTTATGTTTTTCTCATTGTTACACTGAGGTTATGGGGTTTTTGGAAGAAGACCACAGGAATTAAAGTGCTATGCTCATCCCATCATATCAAGATTACATACTACTAACATGACTATTACGTTGATATTGACCTTGATCACCTGGCTCAGGTAGTGTTTGTCGGGTTTCTCCACCGTGAAGTTACCCTTTTCCCCCTTTTCATACTCTACTTTTTGGAAGGAAGTCACTTTGTGCAGCCCATTCTTAAGGAGTGATGCTGAAACCAAGCAGGACCCTGCCAGGGCCCTCTCGGCTACAAAAGCCCCTCTGTGTGCTCTGTTTCTTGTTTGTAGAAAAAAGCTTTAATGTCGTAGGCCTTCCCTGAGCTCCAAAGAGCAGACTCAAGCAGTTTCTAATTAGGCAAGTGAGAGAATGCAGAAACAAAGGAAAAGCAGTTAAACAAAAAAAGTAATGACGGCAGTTCAGCAACAAAGCAGAGTCCTCGCTCCTCTTCAAGGGATATCCACAACAAGCTGACACGTAGCTTTGAGCTCTTCTGCAGAAACTAGGACGCCTACCCAGGTGAAGGATAGTAGCTACATGCTGACCACAAGCATGTAGACCCGACTGGTTGAAACCAGAAGGTTGCTAATTAAAATTCCTGAAACACCACTTTGTTGCCTCACCACCAACCAGTAAGAAGAAAATCATGCCCCCCTGCAACCTTCATCCCAATTGTTACCTTTAAAGCCCTTCCCTGAAAGCCACTGGGGTGTTTGGGATTTTCGAGCTTGAGCCACCCATTCTTCTTGCTCCTTTACGTTTACTCACCACAACTCAGTGTCAGTAAATTGGCTGTGCTGTCCACGAGCAAGTGGACCCAAGTTTGGCTTGTAACAATTGTGGTGACTCAAATGGGACTTCTGACCCAGGCAGGCATCTCGCCTGTAGCACATAGTCCCTGCCAGTGGCAGCTCCTGGGATCCTGCCCAGCAGCTGCCTGAGTACCTTTGTCTCAGGGACAGCCCCAGGTGCTTGCCCCTGACCAGATGTCGCTGGCCCACAGTGCTTTCAATTCTGTGGTGAAGGAAACAAGGGTCTGGTCCTAGTCTGGTCTGTGGGATGTCTCTGGTAAGCGATGGAATCTTGCATGTGACAACACTAACGTATTCTTCCTTACTGGGTTGCCTTAATTGGAATTTTCCTTTTGGTGGGGAAAGACAGACAGCTTGGCCATCTGGTTTTGAGCACAGTGCCTCTTTAATTGGATTTTCCCTTCTGGATCTAGGAGTCCCTCAGCCATCCAGCACCACTTAAGAGGTAACTGGGAAACACTCTGTTAGACCAAGGCTCATCTGCACTCCTGTCTGGAACAGCAGGTAGGAAATCTTCCATTCTCCTGCTAGGGAACTGCAACCCCCAGAGGCCATCAGATACTAATATGTCTCTCTCTGTTTTGGGTAATACCGGCTGTGTGGAAGAACAGTGGGTAATCAGAGCTCTGTGTAGTCCTGTAGGGTATATTTTGCAAAACTGGGAGATCTTCAGCTATGCTCCTGTGAAAGAAAAAAAAATAGTATTTTATTATAACACTGCTTGGCCTCAGTACTCCTCAGAATCCAGAAAACAGTGGCCCCTAATGGCTCTCTAATGATGTTATACATCTTTGAATGAGAACCGTTTTGTAAAAGGGAAGAAAATAGGATGAAATTCCTTATGTATAGGCTTTTATGCGTTGTATCAAAGTGAGCCTTTTGGAATTGGTTTGGTCTTTATCTTGAGTGTGTGCATGAGTGTTTCAGTACATGAGTCTAAATCCTGTTCTCTTTTCCGGGTTTTGGCCTTTGTTAGGTGGTCCTGATTATGACCCTCATTAGAGGGTCTCGGTAACTTGGATGCTGATTCAAGTTCATCTAGAACTGAGGCATGTGAACATGAGTGATATGAATTAGTGTCTATTATTGTATTTGTTTAAGCTGAATTGGCTGCTGGGGAACTGAAGGAAATCTTACCCTGAAAATGGACAAGATGGGGCTCTTTTGACATTCCAAAATTGGTTTTTGCATATTAGTTTGAAGAAGCTGGCTTTCTAGAAGGAACTTGCATTTCTCTCCCTGTGGTTTGAGATGTAAATTTTCTACTTGGGCTCTCAGAAACTCCTGTCTTATCTAGACCATTTCCAATTCCTGTCACTAAGGGAAAAAAAAGAGAGAAAGAAAGGCTTTTTAAACCCAAGCAGGAAAAGTAAAGGATCTCTGTGTCTATATAAATGTATGTTATGTCTTTGTATTTTATAGATATGATATGTCTTTACCTCCAGATGATATTATTAAAATTAATTTGTAAATGAGCTCTACTTAATTGGCTTAAAGGAAATTAACTGTTTATATAAATTCTCAGAAATAAAAAGGAAACAATTTCAGGTTCACATTCAGTATTAAATTACCATCTTATATTAAAGTTGGTTTAGGCTTGTTGGTTTAATTGGTGCACACATGTCTTTATAGTCATCAGTATTAAGCATAATGCTTTTATTACACCTAGGTTTACTGAAAGGTAAAGAAGTTCATATTATATCTGTTGTAAGTTTGTCAGCAAGGAAAATAACTTGATATGATAAAACTTTTAAGTAAATTAAATGTAAATGAGATAAGAGTTTTTTGGGTGAACTCTTTGGGAATAATTATGTTTAGCAATGTCTACTTAAAAATAGTCTCTCCAGATTTTGGTAACTTGAAACTTCAGAATTTTGCTAGATTAAGTTAAATGATGAGAATTAATTGAATATCCAGCATTTCAAATAAGATAAAACACTGGAACATTAATTACTAAACTTGCCTAAGTTTACTTACTTTTGTCTTTTTATAAGAGGGAAAGTTAAGATGTTTGGGTTTATCAGACACATGTCTTTTACTGATGCAAGAAAACAGATGTGGGGCATGAGGAGGGCTGTGTCCCAGGTCTCGGTTGAGCCCCTGGGACATGCCCCACCAAGTGTGGGTCCTTGGCTTCACACAGGAAAGAATTCCAAGAGTGAGCCACAGTTGAGTGAAGGTAGAATTATTCAGAGAGATATATTGAAAGGCAAGAGAAAAGCCATGAGGTGTGGTGGTTGGATGCTCAGATTAAAAGTGGGTATACACTCCATAGACAGAATGCGGACCGGCTACAAAGAGGGAGGGGAGGGGCGGCCATGAGGTGCTGTGTTGCTGGTTTTTATGGGTTTGGTGGCTTCATATGCTAATAAGTAGAAGGACCAGTCTAAGTAGCCTGGGGAAGGGGCTGGGACTCCCAGGAAGTTGGCCATTTCCCACCCTTTGACCTTTTGTGGCTAGCCTTGGGACTGCCTAGGTACCTGTGGGCGTGTTATTCACCATGTTAATATATTACAATGGGCGTATAATGAAGCTCAAGATCTACTAGAAGTTAAATCTCTCATCATCCTAAGCCTCAAGGCCTACTGGGGGTTGAATCTTTCACCATTTTGGTGTTAACTGCTGTGGCATATCTTGAATGGCTGTGCCCTGCCCCCTTCCATCCTGTCTCATTACCACACAGAGAAAGAAATTATGCTATGAGAAGATGCATGTTTCTAGAACTTATAGAGCATGTTCATAAGTTTGTTAATCAGGAAATGCTGGTATGTTCACACCCGTTGCTTGCTCCTTGCTTTTTGCTAGACATCAAGGTTTTTTAAGGGTCAAAATTTATAATATGTATGTAACTAAAGTTACTAAAATAATAAGGGAAACATTTTGGTGTTCAAGGAAAGTAGGAGACATGTTTTCATTAGAAGAAGGTATGAGGAATAGAAGTATATTTTTCTAAAGGTAAAGAAAGTAATTTTGTCCTAGAGCTGGTTGTTCTGGATCAGAAAAAAATATCAGGGACAAAGTAATATGGACACAGAAAGTTGTAGAATGTTAACAGAAAAGGAAACCTGAGAAAAGAGTTGTGCATTAGATTGGATTTAAATTAGGTAAATGGATTTTGTTATTAAAAGTCATCTGGGGCAGGACTGGATTTGGTTTCTCTCTTTCTTAAAAGAGCAGAGTTTTCTTGGAATGCTGCTTTTGATAACAGATTGTGTGATTTTCTATGCCTTTTAAGTGATCTGTTACAACCTTTGAAGTCTTTTATTGTCACTTTGGTTAAGTGAGTAAGTATTTTTTCCTCAGTGATCTATGATCCTATTTAACCAGGGTTTTGAAACTTTTTGATATTTTTGACAAACTTCCCAAATATCAAATTCTATTTGAACTTCTTTTCACCTCCAGCTAGTTTGGGGATGCTTCAGAGGGGCCCTGAGTCATCTCAGAGAGAGATATTGAACTAACTAGGATTATTTGGTACGTTAAATTACATGAGAAGCATTGTCAAATGAGTGATAAGCCTTTTCAGGTTATAGTGTATGGGTAAATGTTACTGTTATAGGCATTCCAGAAATTATATGGAAATCGTAAAAAATTCTGGTACATCCTGACAACATGTTATCAGTCATAATTCTAGTTATTATCTTTATGTTTTACATCACAGCAGTAACCAAGTTTGTCCGTTGCATTGAAATCAGGTGTTTCACTGTGTCTTTTAAAGTCTTTTGTTATTTATGGACCATTATTGTTGTACTCTGATAATTTTGGGAAAAAAAAAAAGCTTCACCCTCAAGAAGACTAATAGGAAGGACTTTTTGACAAGTTCAGATTTCTGATAAATTTCAGATCCTATCACTGAAATGGGTAAGAAATTAAAGAATCCTAGTGGAAAACCTGATGATTTCATAAAACTGTTAACAAAAAGGATGAGTTACATAAGACTGAGGAAACTGACAAATATGGTTATAATTTGTATGGCTTTTGTCTGAAATGTTACTGGCTTTTAATCTGTGTTTGCTAGAAATAGGAAACCTTTACCCTCAAGCTAATCATGGTTTATAGCAACTTGGTAAATTATATCTTTCTACGTAAGATTGAGACATTTATCTTTTCTCTCTACCTGATCCCCCTAGAAACTGAAAATTCTTAGGTTCCCACTAACCTTATCAGGTGATAAGAAAGGTCACCTCCTGACAGGTGCAAGAATCTCAAGATATTTTGGGGACCTTGAGAAGAAAGGAATTCATCTAAATCTATGAATATCACAAGCAGAATCTGATGGCAAGTCCTTGACATGTTTTCCTGGCCTTGAGAGGCCTTAGCATACCTCTGAGCGTGTTCATTGTCTGATTAGTTTTACCCCAATACGGATAACTAGGCAAATATGTGTGTGTGTGTGTGTGTGTGTGTGTGTGTATACACACACACAAAAAGGAGGCCTAAACCTATGGACATGATAAACTCAGGGCAGGCAGCAAATGATAAAGAAGTCTTCACATACTGAAGTATGGGGAAGTCATTCTGGCTTATACATGATTTAACTTGAACTTTATGCTGACCAGAATAGCCTGTTTTGTGGCCTATTGAACATACTTTGTACACCTGCTTTGGCCATTGAGGAAGAGAATGCATTGAAAGTCAAAATGGAGTGGCTTTGCTTCAGGCATTGAAGGTGGAGCTGGGTGACCTTTGTGATTTTACACATGTTCTTGTATTGTGGAGAAACTGAATTTTCTGAACTTTGCTGGACTTGGGGACACAACCAGCAGTTCTTAAAGCAGCGTCTGCTGGCACTTGCCAGCTGCAATCTTATGGTCTCAAGGTCTCCTCTTGTAACTATTAAATTTTTTCTTTCTTTGGGATAGTAATAAATGAGACAGCTCAAGCCACAGCCTTCTGGCAGAAGGCACTAGATTCTCTAACCAGGATAATACTGACCAATAAAATTGCTTTATTAGATTTTAGCAGAAAAAGAGATATATGTGTAGTGGCTAGTAGTTTCTGTTTATGTATATGTTAATACCACATTAGAAGTTAAAACCGACTTAGATAAAATGAGGCAACTGACTATAACAAGTTTCCCCATAAGTGCCAGGTTCAGACTGATTTTCAGGTTATTTTCCTGAATTCCTGAGGGAATGAGATTTACTTGCTAAGGTTCATTAAAGTTCAGGTTTCACTCCTTCTCCTACTTCTAAATTGGGTTTGTTACACCAAAATGGTGACCCAAGGGATTAAGATCTCAATCATACAAGACTCAGATACAAGACTTGTAACACAAGAATTTTCCATTCCCCAAATTGAGGCAGGTCTATGCCCCATTTTAGCAGGAAGTAGCCAGAGCAGTCATTGCCTCATTCTTTCAAGTATTTGGGGAAGGTTAAAACAGGTACGGGGATTGAAACCAAGTCCCCCTGAAACTGAGTTCCCTTGCTGAGTTTATGATTAACCTCTCTATCCAAGACTTTATTGCCTTTCTTGTCCCACCTCCTGTTCCCCTCAGGACT